CTGTCTCATCTTCCCAGCTCAGGGATCAAAAAGATGCACAGAGCTTTGTGTGGTTGATACTGTATAGGGGTGGATACTCTTTAAGGACCAGGCATGAATGAATAACAACAGCCATGAGAGAAACATAGACCTTTGTGGCAGAGTCAGAGAAAATAAAGGAAGGGAAAGGAATAGAGACTGAGAGCATGAAAATAACACATTTACTGTTGTTTGAATGTAAAATGTTTCCCATAGGCTCAAATGGCTAAACACTTGGTCCCAGCTATTGGTGCTGTTTTGGAAGGTTATAGAAGCTTTATGTGGTAGAACCTTGTGGAGAAAAGGATCACTGGGGGCAGAAGTTCCTCTCTCCTCTCTGCTTCCTGCCTGCAGACATCATGTAATAGCAGCCTCACACTCCTGCCACTTTGGCTTTCCAACCGTGATGGACTATACCATTTCAAAAATTGTGAGCCAAAATAAACCCTGACTCCCTTAAGTTTTTTTTTTGTCAGCTATTATTCAAATCAGCAAGAAAAGAAACTAACACACATTCTTATTTGGGATGCAGGCAAGGTGAATGAAATACATGGCTTGTTGGTTATGATCCTAGAACCTATCCACTGGCTAGTTCCCTGGATTTTGGTGAAACTTTGCATTAAACAGACTTGAGTATAAAGTCCACGTTTGGCACCACATGCCAGCATCCCAAATAGGAGTTATGGAGTTAGTGTGGAAAGAATGGAGACATGCACAGTGATGTGTTGATTATACACACTCTGTCTTTTTAAGAGAGGACCCCTTTTATTTGTCCTTCTAATAATGAAACCATTATGTACAACAAGGCATGTAAAACATGGATTTTTACATAAGTCTCAAGAACTTTCAAGATACATCAAAATGTCCCCCAATCCTTCTACCTAGTTTTTTCCTCCATGTCTGAGAAACAAAAGTTAGTCACAGATCATGAATTCTACACTCAAAGAGCACCACCTCTCTTGGCAGGTCAGGAAGGAAACAGCTGGCCTCTGAGGTTAGCAGGTGATTCTGTCTTTTTATTCTAACTAAAATATTCTGTCTAGCTGTCTTTTCTGGTTTCAAGGTACTAGACATTGAGTCTTAAGAAACAAACCTAGAACTTTCATTCTTCAAGAGGACTGGTGTAGTTTTTGTACCATGTAGCATAGTAAGCATTAAGTTTTTTAGGTTTAATTATAAGTACACCTTCCCCATGTCCCTTTGATCTTATAGCAGGTATTTTAGGCCTAAATGTAGACTTTAAACCTTCTCTGGGTAATCAGATGTTCCCAATTTTCAGTTGCCAGTGTGCAAAAGAGTTCCTAATATCATCTATCCAAGAAATATTTCCTGGAATCAGTGCCTCACATATAATCAACAGGACACATTAAGTATTCCTTGGTGGGTTCATATAAAGCAATTTGTTTTACAGCAGTTGGGGTACTCATAAAATTATGCTGAATAGGAGTAAAGAAACAGGAACTTTTATCTATTTCCATAGTATTCCCATTAGTTTCATCTTTTCACAATTCCCCAGAGGAATTGTTCTCCATCCTCTCATTAATCTCCTGTGGCCAAACGACCATGGAAATCCCTGTAGCAACATCAATAAAAGACCCAGAACCAGACATCCTTCTGGGGAATCATGGACTATCGATAGAGCAGAATTTTCTTGCTGAATCTATATTACAGCAAGCAGCTCAACAGTACTTACCATATAATAAAAACTCTACACTCCTGTGTACTCCCAGGAGATGCATGGGTCCTGCCAGCCACCCTTCTAATTTACAGCTGCTTGACTCACAGAATCACTTCCTTTCTTTCACTTGATAGTCACTATGAATATTAAATATGATAACAGCTATCAATTGGCTGGCACCTTACTAGCAGCAGGTAGTAAGAAGTTCATTACAGTATCACCTTTTATACTATCATTGTCCTTGCTGAGAAGCTCAGTTTATCAGTTTGCATATCCTTGCTGAAAGGTCAGCTCTGGGGAAGAAGAGGCTAGATGAGGCAATTGTTCCTCACTAACGTTCCTGAAAACATTTGGCACCATCTGTAGTAGGGAGCTGAGGGTTGCATTCCGACACCCAGCTCCCGCCACTGGCTAGCTTTACCAGAAATAACAACACACAAACTGTATTCTTTTAAACACTGCTTGGGCCATTATATCTAGCCTCTTCTCGGCTAACTCTCGCACCTGGACTAGCCCATTTCTAGTAATGTGTGTAGCACCCCAAGGTGCGCTTACTGGGAAGATTCTAGCCTACGTCCATCCTGGGTCGGAGCTTCATTGTGTGTGCCTCAGAGAGCAGAGCTATCGAGTCTGAGCTCACTTCCTCTTCCTCCCAGCATTCTGTTCTGTTTACTCCACCCACCTATGTTCTAACCAATAAAATGGGCCAAGGCAGTTTCATTATGAGCCAATGACCTTCCTCCATCAACCGCACCTTTCTCCTGAGAACGTTAAGTACTCTGACTATATTTTCATTCTAAAACCTTTATGGATCTTGGAGTAAGGTTGTACCAGGTGGGGCCTGCTACTTAGCTTATAAAATGCAGATTCAAAACCAGACAGAGTTAAACCATCTTCTCTTAAATCAAACACACATCCTGCTTCCCATGCCTCCAGCAGCACTTCTATCTACACAAGAGGATTTGCTTTCAAATCTTAAAGGCTTCGTAGCCATTGTTCTCTGTGGGTGCTCAGGGTCCCTCACCTCCACAGAAGCATCAGGAAAGATCCTCAGGGACCAGGTAAAAGCAGGAGCCTGCTTCGGAAATGGACCCACAAGTTCAGCAGCCTTTAAATCGCATTTTATTGGCTGTGGTTAATGGGACAGAAAACACAAATGTATTTTACCGTGGCGAGCCTCTTAATCATTCCCAGTAAAAGAAGCAGCTGATCAGGGCAGTATCCACTGATAGAATCACTGAAAGAAAGTTTCAAAGTTCAGGGTGAATGACATTGAACAGAGGCAGGTATGTCTGTTCCCTTTTTGTTTCCATGCATTTCTATGCACAAAATCGATTTCTTGGTAATTGCCCCAATAAAGCAGACACTCTGACAGGGAGACTATTGATTACATGGGTACCTCTTGCTGAGCAGGAGAAAAAGCACAGAAATAGGCTTTTGCTGTGTCTTTTGCACAGGCTTTATACACCAGACCCTTCTGATGGTCTGATGCCTTTGAAATAGAATCTTCATGATTGATTGCCAAATCTGCTTGCTGCCTCATTCTGGTTGGAGACACCTTTGTTGTTGCTGTTCTTTCTTTGAACTGCGTGTGACTCCTCCATCCCCTTAGCTCTTCACAGTAGCCCTGCAAAGTTGTTTAATGTGTTTGTTTCTGTTTAGTCTGGATTTTTATTTACTTTTTGGTTTTTTAGAGATGGCATCTCACTCTGGAGCCCAGGCTGACTGGGCTATTGTGCCCTTAGGCTAGCCTCGATCTTACAGCAGTTACCTTTGCCTCCTGAATTAAGGCATGCTTAGCCACCAGGCCTAGCTTAGCTTTGCCAAGTTGCTCAGGACTTCCAGGAGCAGGAAATTCTGAAAACTGAATATGGCACCACCTTAGTTACCCCACATACACTTGTGTCTCCATTGTCCCTGTGTTTTTTCTGTTACTTTCACCAAACACTAATTTTATTACTTTCTCACCCACTCCAAGACCCCAATAAGGTAAATGTCTATATCTCTCTCTATATCTATATATCAGGGCAATAAGTTCACAAATAAAGTTGGAGACTCATTGCTTTCAACAACAAGTTGTACAACTGTGCTGGGAGAATGCTGGAAGGTGTTTAGCACCAGAATATGTCAATACTTATAGTTATTTCTCATTTTGTTGCTTGTTTGAGTGTTGTTTTGGACCAAGTTTCTGGAGATGGTCAATGTTTTAGGAGACCCACAATCTTTTTTTTTTTTAAGCCTTTGCTGAGAAAGAATTGGCATTTGGGATAGAAGAGTTCAGACCTTTGCTATAATCCCACACATATACAGTCCATTTATTTTGCAATATTTATTCTGTTTTGCCATGACAATATATCTGAGGCTAAATGCTTATAAAGAAATCTATTTACTTTACAGCATTAGAAGCTATAAATCCAAAATGTAACACCTGCTTAGACTCTAGTGAACTAGGTTTTTGACAAGGGGAACAGAAATGCATGTGAATGTTAGGAACCATAGGGCCCCCTTTGCTGTCAAAACATGACAAAGAAGCAGGAAGTAAAACAGCTTCATCTAGAAAGGGAATCAAGAACGTGTGTGTGTGTGTGTGTGTGTGTGTGTGTGTCTTGTCTGTCTGTCTGTCTGTATTCATGTTCATTTTTGGGAGATTAGTTTTTTGAGATAAAGTATCCATCTGTTTTTTTCTGAAACTCATTTTGTAGACCAAACAGACCTTGACCTCACAAAGATCCACCTGCTTCTGTCTCTCGAGTGCTGGAAGTAAAGGTGCCCACCTTCACCTGTCTATTAAATGAAAAACAGTGGACTTCCAAAATAAGGCAAGATCTTTGGTGAGAAAGGAAGCAAAGGGAGTCATTTTTAATAACCCACACTGGTGAGAATTAACTGAGATCCAATGAGAGCTACATTCATCTTTTGTAAGTGTAGCACCCCAAATGACTGAGCTACCTTCCCTCAGTCCCATCTCTTAAAAGTCTCAATACCACCACACAGAGGACCTGACTTTCAATATATGAATCTTGGGTAGAAAACCCAGCCAAGTCATAGCATCTTTGAGGATGAATCTGAAGCTTAGAGTGAGTGGAGATGAATATGAGACTTAAAATGGGAAATGTGCCATGCAGTCAGTTGCAAGTAGAGGAAGAGTAAGATCAACAAGGTAGGTGTTGTGTCTGCTTTACTGGTAATGGACTTAGTCATATTTAGTCAAGAGATTTGGATTTGCATCTGATTATCCAGGACATGCTAGAGGCAGAGACTCAGAGGTGGTATGCTGATGCTGCTTTCTTCCCTTCTTTTCCAGACTCCAGATGCTAGAGGCCATCTGTAAGCACTGGGAGGGGCCCATCAGCCTGGCCCTCTACCTGTCTGATGCTGAAGCCCAGCAGTTCCTCCGCTATGCCCAGGGATCCGAGGTGCTCATGAGCCGCCACAATGTGGGCTACCACATCGTGTATAAGGAGGGTCAGTTCTATCCTGTCAACCTCTTGCGCAATGTGGCTATGAAGCACATCAGCACACCCTACGTGTTCTTATCTGACATTGACTTCCTGCCCATGTATGGGCTCTATGAGTACCTCAGGTAAGGACCCCAGGGGACCTGACTGCACTGTTCACTCTTCAGGCTGGCAGTCACATAGGATAATGAAGAACTAGACCAGAAGGTCCTCAGTCAGAACCATTGTCCAGTCTGCCACTCACCTTTTATAGGTAGGGCAACTGAAACCCAAAAAAGGGAAAAGGGTCTGCCCAGAGATTGTTCCTGCCTTCAGTAGGACCCTGTTAAAGGGCCCCTACAGGTTTGGAAGATGCATACAAAGTTCTATTATTCCATGCATAGACTGGATCTGAGTTTCCATAGTGACATGTTAATTTTGGTATAGAAAGATCCTTTTTGTTCAAAATGCCTGTCCCTCTTCCAGTTTTCCAGCAGACAGACTTCCTGTAACCATTCTCAAAAAACCACTGCCTGCTCTTTAAAGCAAACCTAAGTAATTATGATGCCTAGCAAATGTTGAAGCACTTGTACCAGAAAGTGATTGACAGATAAGATCTCATTCTGTTTCCTCCTCTCGTGGTCCATGCCACAGATCATATTTTTGTCTTCATTTTACAAATGGGAAGCTGCTGAACAAGACTGGAAGATGCTGTTCTATGTTGCGTAACTAGAGGAGAGGGAGCTGGGGAGTCACAGCACAGGACAACTAATCTCAGAACATATGAATTTCTATTGTAAGAGCTGTGGGCCTCTTCCCACAGCCTGGCTCCTGGCCGCTTGGCTAGCTTATACCCCGAAATAACAACACACAAATTGTATTCTTTTAAACACTGCCTGGCCCATTAGTTTCAGCCTCTTAACCCATTTCTAATAATCTATGTAGCACGACGAGGTGTGCTTACCAGGAAAGATTCAGCATGTCTGACCTGGTGGCTGACTGCATCACGTCTGGCTCTGAGAGGAGCTGCATGATTTCTGAGCTCACTTCCTCTTCCTCCCAGCATTCTGTTCTGTTTACTCAGCCTATCTAAATTCTGCCCTATCAGATGGGCCAAGGCAGTTTCTTTATTAGCCAATGACCTTCCTCCATCATTTCCCCTTTTTCTGTTTAAATAAAAACGAAAGGCTTTAACTTTAACATAGCAAAATTACATATAACAAAACAGTTATCAAGCGAGAATTACAGTTACAATTTTTACATCTACTTTATCTTTTATCATAACTAAGGAAAACTATAACTATCTATATATTCTTTAACTCCATCAAAGACACAAGAAGGATACAATATTACCTAACCAAACTCTAGAAATAACAGAGACATCTCACTGCCTGGACAGTCACCCAAAGTTCCTCTGTAATGTTGGGGCATCCATCTTCGGCCTACAGGCCCATAGTTTCCAGCAGACATTTCCATGAAACAGGAAATTTCAAAGTCAGTTCAGTCACTATCTGCTGTGTCCTGCAGAATGTCTCACAGACTCTTTCATAAATCAGGAACCCCGAAAGATCATCTCACCTTTAGGCAAGTTCAGCAGTCCTCTCTCTGCGAGTTCTTTCTGTCCAGTTTATGCAACAGTCCAGGCAAGAGCAGTTTCTTGCCCAAATGGCTATCAAACTCCATAACGAGCCTCTTCGATGCCCATCTTCGTCTTGAAGTAGATTGGTGCTGCCAGGAGCAGAGTGTCTCATTGTCATGAAAAACCCTGAGTTATTAAAACATTTAAAATGCCATATTCTATAGTCTTTGAAAGATATGAAGAATGCCTATCTAACTGAAATATATCTCTGTATATCTAGAAAATCTAACTAACATGACTACAAGCTTTATTATTATTGATGATTATCCATTAGCAACCTATATTTCCTAATTATACATTACATTTTTTTTTTTGTGGATTTTTCGAGACAGGGTTTCTCCTTAGCTTTTTTGGTTCCTGTCCTGGAACTAGCTTTTGTAGACCAGGCTGGCCTCAAACTCACAGAGATCCGCCTGCCTCTGCCTCCCGAGTGCTGGGATTAAAGGCGTGCACCACCACCGCCTGGCTATACATTACATTTTTAAAATGAACTACAAATCACAATACCTCAATCAAGAGCAGAAACACATATACATATAACAAAATTGACCTTAAAATCCATACCAATGCAAATTATTCATATATATATATATATATATATATATATATATATATATATATATATATCATATCCCCCTTTAAGTGTAAAAGAACATTTATAAACAATATTTGGGAATATGGGCACTGTTTTTTCTCTCCAAACTGCTTTGTGATGTATGGGGGCGCTGTTATTTAGGTCTTTCATGGTATAACCTGTGTGCCAGGTTTATCTCATTTGGCATTTGAGAGAAGTAATTTTCTGAAGGTGTTCACAGCAACCTTTCAGGAGGGTGTGGTCTATCATACCATATTGGGATAGATGCAATACACAGGGTTTCATCATCTGTTAAATCAAAAGAAGAATCTCTTTTCCAAAGTATCGTATCCTTAGATCCAAATTCTGAAGTCAAGGTATTTTCAAAATATCTATGTTGGATTAGTTCAGCAGCATTTATAAACAAATATCTTTTAGCAGATGTTGCTCCTTCCTCACCATTAAAACAATTCAAGGAGTGCATAATAGCATACAGTATCAAGATTTTCTGTGTATTTTCCATCTTTGTGCAGCTTTATTTTAACCTTTATTTCATTTATTTTTACTTTTAACTTTTTGCTTTTTTTTAATTTATTTATTTATTAAGGATTTCTGCCTCGTCCCCACAACCGCTTCCCATTTCCCTCCCCCTCCCCCGATCAAGTCCCCCTCCCTCATCTGCTCGAAGAGCAATCAGGGTTCCCTGACCTGTGGGAAGCCCAAGGACTGCCCACCTCTATCCAGGTCTCATAAGGTGAGCATTCAAACTGCCTAGGCTCCCACAAAGCCAGTATGTGCAGTACGATCAAAAACCCACTGCAATTGTTCTTGAATTCTCAGTATTCCTCATTGTCCGCTATGTTCAGCTAGTCCGGATTTATCCCATGCTTTTTCAGACCTAGGCCAGCTGGCCTTGGTGAGATCCCAATAGAACATCCCCATTGTCTTAGTGTGTGGGTGCACCCCTCGTGGTCCTGAGTTCCTTGCTCGTGCTCCGTCTCCTTCTGCTCCTGATTTGGACCTTGAGATTTCTGTCCGGTGCTCCCATGTGGGTCTCTGTCTCTGTCTCCTTTCATCGCCTGATGAAGGTTAATATTCATGAGGATGCCTATGTGTTTGTCTTTGGATTCACCTTCTTATTTAGCTTCTCTAGGAACATGAATTATAAGCTCAATGTCCTTTATTTATGGCTAGAAACCAAATATGAGTGAGTACATCCCATGTTCCTCTTTTTGGGTCTGGCTTACCTCACTCAGGATAGTGTTTTCTATTTCCATCCATTTGTATGCAAAATTCAAGAAGTCCTTGTTTTTTACTGCTGAGTAATACTCTAATATGTATATATTCCATACTTTCTTCATCCATTCTTCCGTTGAAGGGCATCTAGGTTGTTTCCAGGTTCTGGCTATTACAAACAATGCTGCCATGAACATAGTTGAGCATATACTTTTGTTGTATGATAGGGCCTCTCTTGGGTATATTCCCAAGAGTGGTATTGCTGGATCCAGGGGTAGGTTGATCCCGAATTTCCTGAGAAACCGAAACACTGCTTTCCAGAGTGGTTGCACAAGTTTGCATTCCCACCAGCAATGGGTGAGTGTACCCCTTTCTCCACAACCTCTCCAGCAAAGGCTATCATTGGTGTTTTTTATTTTAGCCATTCTGACAGGTGTAAGGTGGTATCTTAAAGTTGTCTTGATTTGCATTTCCCTGATCGCTAAGGAAGTTGAGCATGACCTTAAGTGTCTTTTGGCCATTTGAAGTTCTTCTGTTGAGAATTCTCTGTTCAGATCAGTGCCCCATTTTATAATTGGGTTGATTAGCCTTTTAGGGTCTAGTTTCTTGAGTTCTTTATATATTTTGGAGATCAAACCTTTGTCAGTTGCAGGGTTGTTGAAGATCTTCTCCCAGTCAGTGGGTTGTCTTTTTCTCTTAGTGACAGTGTCCTTTGCTTTACAGAAGCTTCTCAGCCTCAGGAAGTCCCATTTATTCAATGATGCCCTTAGTGTCTGTGCTGCTGGGGTTATACATAGGAAGTGGTCTCCTGTGCCCATGTGCTGTAGAGTACTTCCCACTTTCTCTTCTATCAGGTTCAGTGTGTTCGGACTGATATTGAGGTCTTTAATCCATTTGGATTTGAGTTTTGTGCATGGTGATAGATATGGATCTATTTTCATTCTTCTACAGATTGACATCCAGTTTTGCCAGCACCATTTGTTGAAGATGCTCTCTTTTTTCCATTGTATACTTTTAGCTCCTTTATCGAAGATCAGGTGTTCATAGGTTTGTGGGTTAATGTCAGGGTCTTCTATTCGATTCCATTGGTCGACTTCTCTGTTTTTATGCCAATACCAAGCTGTTTTCAATACTGTAGCTCTGTAATAGAGTTTGAAGTCAGGGATGGTAATGCCTCCAGACAATCCTTTATTGTATAAGATTGTTTTGGCTATCCTGGGTTTTTTTGTTTTTCCATATAAAGTTGATTATTGTCTTCTCCAGATCTGTGAAGAATTTTGATGGGATTTTGATGGGGATTGCATCGAATCTATAGATTGCTTTTGGTAGAATTGCCATTATTACTATGTTGATCCTCCCAATCCAAGAGCAAGGGAGGTCTTTCCATTTTCTGGTGTCTTCTTCAATTTCTTTCTTCAAAGACTTATAGTTCTTGTCAAATAGATCTTTCACTTCCTTGGTCAGGGTTACCCCAAGGTATTTTATGCTATTTGTGGCTATCGTGAAAGGTAATGCTTCTTTGATTTCCCTCTCTGCTTCCTTATCCTTAGTGTATAGGAAGGCAACTGATTTTTTGGAGTTGATCTTGTATCCTGCCACATTACTAAAGCTGTTTTTCAGCTGTATAAGTTCTTTGGTAGAATTTTTGGGGTCGCTTATGTACACTATCATATCATCTGCAAATAACGAAAGCTTAA